CTTTTCTTTGATTCCTTCCTTAGGTGCTACATGTTTTCTTAAAATACGTATAATAAATCCTTATTTATGCACAAAGTTTCATTGTAATCCCTCTGCAGAGGGCTTGTTTCGAAGACAACTCCCTATAGTAAAGTGTCCTTCCTTTTATGTAAGTATTAAAAACGTATTTATAAAAGGAAGGAATATAAATATAAAAAGAAAAAAGAAAACCATTTCATCCAGAATTGATACTTCCGCTTTTCGAAAATAACTGTTTTCATGTTTACAACCAAGTCGACCATTTTAATGCAAATGGTGGTTGCTTTAGTACAACCCCAATATGTATTCACGGAACCCCAGAGACCTTTGCAGTGAAATATCTGAAAATAGATGATCTAAAGAACTAAGCACCAATAACTGTCCGGGGTAGAAAGTTTCTTCAAGAAAGAGCCAGTATGCTATATACGTACAATATAAATCCCGATTACACACTTATCCGAACCATAAATACATGCATTATAAAAGAAAAGAAGTAAAATGCAGACCATAAAATCGCTTTAACGTAACTTTTGCATTCGAAGGAAAACTTTAGTCGGGGTTACTTTGTAGGAAAGCATCAGCTTATTTTATGTTTCTATTGATAATGCAACAAAGGTGGATGATTTAAAAAGTCACAGGCACCAGGCGTTCACTTTCCCATTCTTCGGGGAAACGAGAAGTGCACTTGTTTTATTTGTACAATAAAATTCAGATTTTGATAAATTTCAAACTAAATTACAGTGGATTTCATTTATTACGACGCTGGTTGTAGCGATCATTTTACTATCATCATTATCATCATAAAGTTGTCAGTCCTAAGACTCCACTCCTTCCTATCCATAGCTAATCTTTGCATTCCCTCAAAACTAGAACTTGCGAACAGTAATCTAATCTAGGTCTACCTCTACTCCTCTTAACTCCTGTTTCTGCGTGTAGCTACGTTAAGTCTTAGTCCCTTGAATTTAAAGCATACTTTAGTAAGTACAAAATTTCATGTGACTATAGCAACTTTGGATGTAACGCGGAGTTCGGGTGTAGCGACTGTTTTTAATGAATCGTTTTTAACAAATTCTTAGAAATCCAATGCAGATATAGCGATTGGACCATTACCGTTTGTTTAAGTTTAACGCGCATTAACTTTAAAGGCAAAAATTATTTTAAAATTAAAGAACGGTGAAAACCATACATACGTGTCTCTATCTCATTATCTTCCGGATATAACAACATCCGGATATAACGACGAATTTACAGTGGTCCCATCGTCGTTACACCCGAAATCCACTGTATTTTATTTAAACTTAAATAGTGTTTTTCTACGAAACGACTGCGTCAAAGAGGCTTGCAGATGGATTGCTAATTAACAACAAGACTTTTAGCTTTGAAGGTTCAAGTTCGTAGAACACATGTGCCGTTGTAAAATGTTAATGAAGGGTGTGGTTGTGTTAGGCAACCCCTTTCCTTAACGTCACGTTTCGTTACTCGCTCAAACTGACGCAAGACGCTAAGCTGTTTGATCTCGGTTATAAATCAGAGGCTCCATTGTATGTGGCAATTGCACCAAAGTCCATTTTCGAAATGAAGAAAAACGACGAGCAAAAGGGGAGGAGGGATGAAGGGAATTTTCAAACTTCTCGTAACTTGAAGACTCATTTGGGGCATCCAATCCGATTTTATTAACTGTTTACGAGTGAAATAGTCCATTAAAAGAAAAGTTGCTTGATTTGAGTTACAGGATTAAAGAGTATCTTACTCCGCGGGCGTGGACAATCAGAACGAATAACAAATTCACCAAAATTACCATGAGCATAAATGTTTTCTGTTTGAGATTATTTCGAGATATAACTACCTATAGTTTTTACGTTATTATTAATGAAAAAATCATTTTCTAAATATTTATTATTTGCTCTAGCCATTATGTAGGGTTATGAGCTTACGAAATTGATTGTTCCAAAAGTAAGTGTTGAAGTTAAATGTATCAATGATAAGGTCCTAAAACCTGAGTCAATTTTTGCATTTCCCGAAAACTAGAATATACTAGATCCATAACTTTTTAATATAGAAGCTTGTATTGGGATCCGTCAAATGGGAGGAGCCTAAAAACATGGCGCCGATTAGGGAAAATTTATCGTAGTTCCTATAGTGTACCGTGCAATTTCCAAGTTTTTAAATTACGATAAAATGATAAGTATTGACACAATATGTGATTGGGCTGACACAAAGCCTTGGAAAGAAATTTCGTTGAAGGTGACCGTGTTTTTAATGCCAATCACATTATAAAATTCGGAAATAACAAATCCGGAAGCTAGCCTTAAAATTCCGTCAAGTTTACTGCCTACTTTTTACAAACTTCGGATTTAAAAAGGGATTCACGTTATATAATTGGTGAGGTGATTCTGGGTGATTTAAGCAATATCATATCAATGACTTGCACGTGCAAAGCCGATTTAAGAGAACGTTGCAAACACATTATTGCAACTTTGTTGTATTGCAGGAGGTAGGTTCTTAACCTCAAAATACTTATATCGTATCATTAGAATTGTGTTAAATCAATTACACAGGAATAAATAATTTCTCACTTTATAATTTTAGTATGATTCTAGTTTTAAATATTAAGGTTATGGCTGATGGTAAATACTTGCTGAAATATAATCATGTGCATTAAAATGACGTGAACAAATTTTTATTCTGGAATTCACTTCTTTGATACCTAGTGCTTTCATCCGAGCTTCTATTAGTTTACTTTTTTCTCTAATTTTCCGAATATATTTTTAACATATATAAAACGGTCTAGTTAATGTAGGTGAAGAGTGAAGATCTATGTCTGAAGTCCTATTGCAGTTTTTCACTAAACATATTAACTTTTTATTTGATTTAACTTCAGAAGAAAACTTCGTCGACTCCATCATCAAAAAAATTTTTACTTTTTTAACGTGTTTTATTATTTCAATAAACAATTTTACAATTTGCGTGCACAGTTCCTATGTAAATTTTTCCCTCATTCGAGGTTATAAATTTTGCCACCAGATCGTGTATGCCCATTTGACGGATCCCAATACATTAAAACTAAATCCATAGTTATAAATAAACAAATAAAAGTAACGTTTCAAGAATATTTTATTGTTCCATCACACATGATAGATCATGATGATGGTAAAACAATATTGCAGTGATTTGACTATAAAAGATCTACAACTGTTTTTAACTTTTCACATACGGCTTCTACTAAGTATTTGAAACTCATTGAGCCCAAAAGTACGCACACGTGGTCTATGACCCTACGCTTTTCCTTTTATATCATTTAATCAGTCTGCCTGTCGTATAAAACTCAGGCTGTTTATTTTTATTTTGGGAGATCAATTGGATGAAGTAAACTTTTATCGTTCATAAATCGAAGAGGAGGGACACAATTCAGCTAAACCAGCAAAAATGTGCGACTTCTAAAGCAGTTAATAAGGTAGATCAAACGGGACGATTGTACATAGAAGGAGCCACAACTTCTCCCTTACAAGATTGCTTTTCAGCCCAATGTTTTTTCGTTCCTACACGTATATATATACATCTTGGAAGGACGTGTTGACATCAGTATTTCGGTGTTCCCTCACTCGAAACCGCATCGATAAATCAAAAACCTTTATCCTATATTACAGTAACAACGTCGGGGACTTCATAAACTTCCCGGTTTCTTTCTCCCTTCCAATATCGGCTCTTTGCAGCATTCCCGGGCAATGACAAGAACCCGTTTTATTCGTTTTATGACATGAGGTGGGGATCAATGAGATTACACGTCAAAATCTGTAATTTTAACGTTATATTTCTGACATTATTTTATTTTGCGTAACGATACCGGACAAAGAGCTTAATAAGCAAAATTAAAGTAAAAACAAAAAAAAAAATGAATTAAGGTGGTATTTTTTTGAAAAAACTGCACGGAATAAAAATCTTGCCGGTAAATAGTGAAGAAAAATGTAAAACGATAAGAAACAAGGACTTTTACTGTATTTTGATCTTCTGATGTATTTTTCAGTAGTTTTGGCGAGTGGCAAAGTGCCTTATGCCCAAAAAAATTATTAACAGTAATCCCTGTCACTGTTTATGCACTTCTACTTCTTCCTCTAATTTGTCTCTAACTAGTCCTTCATGCTTCAAAAGGTGCCTTACCAAGGAGTTCTATTGTGAATAAAAAGCTTCCTGCGCGAAGTATCACAACTTGTACGTAGATTTAATTAATTAACTCTAGTACCTGCTATAAATTATTCGCTAACTAAGTATTAGCATAATAAATCTTAAGGATATTTACTCCATTGTAGTAGTACCTAGCAAATTTACGTCAGAGTGAACTTTAATGAATGGACTGTTCCCGACTATTTCCATTGTGTTTACACTTACTTTAAATTAACAGAAAATTGTTTGAAACAAGAAATTGGTTGTGATCAAGAGTGGCGCTACCACCGGCTGTTCCAGACAAGTACGAAATACGCCGACTTAACTATGCAAACAGTGTTTTCTTTTCTGTTGTTATTCTAAGAGATGCAAATTAGCAATGTATTCGTTAGCAAGAATAACAAGGAAAGTTTGCTTTCGTTTCGCATGATAAGACCCGATCCTGTAATAGTATAGTCTAGAGAAACAATGGATGATATTAAAAAAAATCTATTCTGTTACTAGACACTTTTAATATCATATTGTAACACATTACCGATATCGATCGATACGCAGAGATGTGAAAAATTATTATATTTGATATAAAAGACAGTTTTTAATAAATGCAAAGTTCCAAAAAGTAAAATGACGAGTCAGTATGCATGTTCCGCTATACAAATTCTGAAGGTTCTTATACTGTGTCCTATGTAGAAAACATGGAAATAAAGGTACTTGGTTTCATTCAAAATTCTAGTTGTAATTTATTAATCTAATAAAGTAACCGTAAGAACACTAAATATTACACTTAGGGACCTGAAAACAAAATTTCGTTGATAACTTACCATGTAGAGCTTTTAGATAAGCTTTTCCTGCATTTATCATTTGTCGAGCACCCGGATTGAATTTCTCCAAAATATTCTGAAAAAGAAAAGTACAAAAGTTTACATTGGGCTGAGATATAATTAAAAAAATTATAAATTAAACAATCGGAAGGCTCAAATGGTAATAATATCAGTAACTTTGATAAAAAAAAATTTGAAATAAGCGTATAGTATCAGCATCATCAGTTATTAATAAACGTGCAGTAATGCAAAATGTCGAGTACAGGTACCTTATTGAAGTTTATATTACTGTTGACTCATTAAATTTTTAAATATTGCCCCAAACATGAAACAGGACCAGTCTGGAACTTTCCCATTTTTAAAGTTAATGCGATGCTGATAAGGCCGTCTCATAATGATAGAATAAATGGGCCATTTCAAAGTCAAATAACTTATTGGTTTCTACCTTTTCTCACACAAATCCTAACATAATTGGGTTATCATCATCATCACCATAAGGTCGTTAGTCCTAAGACTGCATGTACCTCATTCCACATCCTTAACTAACTATTTGTGAACAGTAATCTAATCTAGGTCTACCTCTACCCCTCCTACCTATCTCGCCTATTTCTTATTAACTTCCATGGAGTCCTCTGTTCTATTATTCTTTCTAATATCTTTTCATTTCTAACCTTCTCTATCCATCATTGGCTTAACGTTTTCTGTTCCGCTGTCCCAACCGTCCATGTTTCGCACCCGTACAATGCCGTGCTCCAAACATACACTTTTAACAACCTTTTTCGAATTTCTAAATTAACCGTTCGCGAGCATAGAAGTGACTTCTTTTTATTGAAGGCGACTCAACCCTGCGCTATCCTCTTCTTTATGTCCCTACTACTCCATCCGTCCTGAGTTATCTGACTTCCTAGATACTTTAAATCAGCCATTTTCTCCAAGTTTTCGTCTCCTATCTTTACATTCGCCCTTTCCTTACTTCTTCTTCCCTTACATGCCAGTTTTATTGGGTAAATGATATACAAATAATTGAATGTATACAATGAGACGTCAACATTCAAAAGTAGATAACTTAATAACCTTCGACAAAGCAGTGACTTTAAAATTCTTGGTCATGAACGGTTGCGTTCTTCAGGCCAATTGTCCAACTTTTTCAACGTATTGAACGAAAACTCATTTGTTTGGCTATTATTATGTGGGTTATTGTAGCTTTTGCTGCGTCTTGGAATTGTCTTCCATGTGCCAGACTTTACTTAGTGTTAATGTTCAATAAGAGAAGATACGATAGATGATGCATTACTCCATCATCATGTACATTTTGTGGAACATTTTGAATATGTAAGTGCCAGTTAAGCAAGGAACGATTCCAATAACGCCGACTAATGGCATTTTGATTACCAGGTTCATATAAGCCAGTCGTCTTCGTTCCTCATATCAATTCAGTTCCCATTTTGCAGCACATAAAATGCAAATAACTGGCGCGAGGGAATGCGAAAAGGAGTTTTGGAACCGTAGGATCTGGAACTGGTTCGGATAGTAATTTAGAACGCACACCGTGGCATCGACTTAAATTTGTCTAGTCTGAACCAAAGTTGGGACTTCTATTGCCCTATTACTTCTGGGGAAACTGCAGGAGTGTTCTTCTGTATTGACAATTTATTTTATCCCATTGTACAGGGAATGCCGCCATAAATAGTTGGAATAGGCGCTGCATTGCGACACGTTTATCGGCTTCCACGTTGAAGTAAATTTATAACCAGAATCGAATTATCCTTGTCTTTCTACCGCGAATTTATAACGGTCCCAGAGTGTTGTTAATATCCTCCCTTTCATTCCGCCAATGTCAATCTTGTTAACAACCCTCTAATGTCTATAGCTATTTTAGGAGTTACCACACAACTCCGAAAACAAACCTGAACAATTTATTATTAATTTGCCAGTCAATAACGTAATCTAAAGTTTAAAAAGAAGAAATTCCAAAATACATTACATATTTTCGTAACAATTATAAATCCTAGATGATCATAGAGTGGTATTATGTCATAACCCTTGCTCAGTAATATATCGAAACAGATATAAATCGTGATTTCGATCTTACTAGATCTCATTAGCACGCTAACGGCGGTCAGACCAATCCAAAGGTGCTCCATATTAGATTGTTTACATAATATCTAGCGATGGCAGGATGTCGCCATCTATTTATATTTAACTGAAGTATTTAAGCATATTAGGCTCGTGATAGACACTAAGCTAAACGCTGGATCGTCGATTCATTTGAACGAGTAGATTATACCTTGTGTAACATAATTAAATACTTCAGTTAGCAGAAAATATCAATAGGTGACGACATTCTGCCGTTACTAGATATTATATGAACAATCTTATATGGAGCATCTTTGGTTTGGTGTATAGAACTCACCGAGCGGCATGGCCTAGAGGTCTAGACCATTGCTTAGCATTCGGGAGGACGCCGGTTCGATTCCGGGTCCGTCTGTCTGGGTCCAAGTTTTTCTGTGGTTTCCTTGGATCACTTAGGCTAATGCTGAGGCAGTAATATTCCACAGATAACCTTTCACTCTCTTTTGTCTTCATTTCGTCCGTCTTATCTTTCTCACCCGAACCACCACCCACCCATTCCCACCATTCCTGAAAGCAGGCTGAAGAGGGCCTTCCGCACTACCTTCCGGCGTAGTCCGGAGGGACTGCCCGCCTACCAACATTACTGGCTGGTGGGAATGAAACACCCAAAAGTTTTTTAAGTTTTTTTTATATAGAACTCTACAATTTATGTCGCAGATTTCAAAGGTTTACCCTTATTTTAATACTATTATTATTATTACTTATTACTTCTATTCAGTAAGTTTCTTTTGTATCTGAAGAACATTAAAATCCAAAAATTCTTAGCCGAAACTATTGAGATATTTTAAAACCCTTTCAAAAGATGTAAATTATATCCATATTCTTAATAATTGTTTTCAAACATTTCGAAAGTAATTTAATTAAACTGGATAATTGAACAAAACATTATTAATGCGGTAACATATTTGTTTGACAGCAACAACGTATCTGTAAGATAGCTTTGCTTTCTAGGACACATATTACCGCATTTTCGTTCTTCTCCAAATGCTTGTACGTCGTACACAGTCTGTACGTGATATTTGGTAATGATAAGCGGTAGAAATTCCCTTCTGAAATAATATGTACACTAGTAGGTATATGGACGGTCTCTAGGTAACACGGATTTTCTGATATCGTATTCAGAGCTTGTCTGCCGCTGTCATCTGCACTATTTAAGCCACTTGTGTTTAAAATTTAATCTTCTCTATGAACACCCGACTTGAAAATTAAGCAAAATAGAGATAACTGAGAGATCGTGCACCTGAACTAATTTAGGTATCTATAGGTAACTGTTTAGGGAATTTGAAAGCAACTTTTGTGCAAGGGTTTGTTCATGTTTTGCTTTATAAATTAAGTAACGAATTTATTCCAACACGATGTTTATTATCAGTTAATCAACTATAAATATTGAAACTAAATTGGCCGGAAGAATTGTAAAATAATTATCACATAAAAATTTTATGAAAGTCTAAAAGATGACCTGATACAAAACCGTTGCTCTCAACAAAAGTAGAAATTGAAAGATGACATTTAATAACTTTCTCAACAAAAGTAGAGACTGAAACATGACGTTTATTAACGTTTGGGACTATTGGGCAAATCTCTATTCGAAATTTTACTAAAGGAAGTGACTTAAAACCTTTGCTAACCTTAAACAGAATAATTGAAGGACGAAATATTTCATTAGCAACCCCAACAGATGGTGATATACTGCCTGTTAATAATATAGAAATGTAATATATAAATTAGTCAGAATTTAAAGTATTCTTAACTCACGGTCAATAAAAAAAAATGCTTAATGCCAAAGATGCTCCATATAAGATTGTTCATATAATATCTAGTAACGGCAGGATGTCGTCATCTATTTATATTTAACTGAAGTATTTAAGCATATTAGGCTCGTGATAGACACTAAGTTAAACGCTGGATCGTCGATTCATTTGAACAAGTAAATTATACCATGTGTAACATAATTAAATACTTCAGCTAGCAGAAAATATCAATAGGTGGCGACTTTCTGCCGTTACTAGACATTATATGAACAATCTTATATGGAGCATCTTTGGTTTGGTCTATTGGGATTCGTCAAATTGGAGGAGCCTAAAAACATGGCGCCGATTGGGGAACATTTATCGTAGTTCCTATAGTGTACCGTGCAATTTCCAAGTTTTTAAATTACGATAAAATGTTAAGTATTGATACAATATGTGATTGGGCTAACACAAAGCCTCGGAAAAGAAATTTCGTTGAAGGTGAGCGTGTTTTTAATGCCAATCACATTATAAAATTCGGAAATAACAAATCCGGAAGCTAGCCTTCAAATTCCGTCAATTCGGATTTAAAAAGTGATTCCGATTATATAATTGGTGTGGTGATTCTGGGTGATTTAAGCAATATCAAATCAATGACTTGCACGTGCAAAGCCGATTTAAGAGAACGTTGCAAACACATTATTGCAACTTTGTTGTATTGCAGCAGGTAGGTTCTTAACCTCAAAATACTTATATCGTATCATTAGAATTGTGTTAAATCAATTACACAGAAATAAATAATTTATCACTTTATAATTTTTCTATGATTCTGGTTTTAAATATTAAGGTTCTGGCTAATGGTAAATACTTGCTGAAACATAATCATGTGCATTAAAATGACGTGAACAAATTTTTATTCCGGAATTCACTTCTTTGATACCTACTGCTTTCATCCAAGCTTCTATTAGTTTACTTTTTTCTCTAATTTTCCGAATATATTTTTAACATATATAAAACGGTCAGTTTAATGTAGGTGAAGAGTGAAGATCTATGTCTGAAGTGCTATTGCAGCTTTTCACTGAACATATTACCTTTTTAGTTGATTTAACTTTAGAAGAAAACTTCGTCGACTCCATCATCAAAAAAATTTTTACTTTTTTAACGTGTTTTATTATTTTAATAAACAATTTTACAATTTGCGTGCACAGTTTCT